CTTTTTGATTTTTGTATCCAAATGAGGGAGGGGGGTTATTGGAGAGGGGCTTGAAGAGAAGGGGGCTAAATATAGAAATTACAGTACCTCCATTCCTACCTCTCCCTTCCCAAACATGCTGCAGGAAGGGGCAACTGCAGGGGTTAAAGCCTGGATTGCAAGGTTGATGTATAATTTGCATGTTATGTACCTGGTAATATGGAGAAATGAGCTAGTAAATATATCCTTGCCTATAATTAGTTGCTGATTAAATGTTCAAAGATACACAGTGTGAAGCATGAAAAACAAATGAAAGATACCTACTGCAAGAAATTTTCAACAAATATATATGGATTTGTTCACTTCATTTCTTACTTTCGACACAAGTAATTATGGTAATTATAATTACAAACAGAATGTACTGTCATTTAAATACTTTATATGTGCTCCATCTATATGTGTTAATGTAATATAATATAAACTATAAGCCCTGGGCTTATATTCTTTTGTAAGTGATTTTTGATGGGCTTAGGGGGGGGGGGCTTATATGCACGGGGGCCTTATACATGGACGATCAATTGTGTTAGTAATAAACAAGTCAGTCATAAACAGGAAAATAAACATGTATTAATAACACACTTCATTAACATAGTAAGCTATAAAGACAATGACAGTGTTTCAAATATCGTTCTCTGCTATATTAAAAGACAATGTCAATGTTAAATAACATAGTGGGATACTGGGCTTATATTCAGGGGGCTTATATTCAGGGGACTTATATTCAGGGGGGCTTATATTTGGGGGGGGGGCTTATATTTGGAATGAGGTGAGCATTATATTCAGAGGTTTACAGTATACAGTTGAAAAAAGCTTGTATTTTCTTGTCATAGACACACATTTCTGGGTGCATATAGAACAGCTTATGCGTCAGGTTCTCATGTCGATCCAATGGTAATTTGATATCGCTGCCATCACCATAATATAGTGTAGCACAGAATGGCCTTGTATCATACTTTGACATCATGATGCAGAAATGCCTTGGTCATTCATGTGGAGATATGACTATCACGATAGAATTAGTTACGCCAAGTAACACGTCGTACACGTCAGGTAGCAGCTGAAATATTTTAATATTTGCCATAATAAGCCCATAACCTGTTGGCAAAACAACCAAAACATCTTCACCATTTTACATTTATATGGCCGAGATACATTTGAATGTCTCGTCTTTTAACGAATATTCAAGCCCTCTTTTCGCTAGAACAACTTTCATAGCTCTTTCAGTATTTGCCATTGAATATAATTTAATAGTAGTACGATTTAAAGCACCTTTAAACGTATAAAAACCATTTTGTATACTATATTCTGATGAGAATCTTTGTTTAAAACAATATCGATTGTGAGCGTGTGCCCGCGCGAATTTAGTAAGCGGAATAAACAAAAGCAATAAAAGCGCATGCGCCATTTATCTCATTTTCAGGTACCTAATTTTCAGAAAATCACCAAATGATAACGGGCTTTTTTAATTTTTACACATTTTTTTCCCTTTATTTTTGACATGTACATGCCGAAATCCTCGCCGAAATCTCTACACATGAGAAATGTATGCCAGCGAGAGAACGATGTCTCAGTTTTACAAGCGCGGAAAATTTTTAACATTTAAATAGTTCATGCACAATATATGAAAACTACCTATATTTCGATGTTTTTGTGTAATTCAAGTACCTAATTTTCAGAAAATCGCCAAATGATAATGGGCTTTTTTAATTTTTACACATTTTTTTGCCTCTATTTTTGACATGTACATGCCGAAATCTATACACATGAGAAATGTATGCCAGCGAGAGAACGATGTCTCAGTTTTACAAGCGCGGAAAATTTTTAACATTTAAATAGTTAATGCACAATATATGAAAACTACCTATATTTCGATGTTTTTGTGTAATTCAAGTACCTAATTTTCAGAAAATCGCCAAATGATAATGGGCTTTTTTAATTTTTACACATTTTTTTGCCTCTATTTTTGACATGTACATGCCGAAATCTATACACATGAGAAATGTATGCCAGCGAGAGAACGATGTCTCAGTTTTACAAGCGCGGAAAATTTTTAACATTTAAATAGTTCATGCACAATATATGAAAACTACCTATATTTCGATGTTTTTGTGTAATTCAAGTACCTAATTTTCAGAAAATCGCCAAATGATAATGGGCTTTTTTAATTTTTACACATTTTTTTGCCTCTATTTTTGACATGTACATGCCGAAATCTATACACATGAGAAATGTATGCCAGCGAGAGAACGATGTCTCAGTTTTACAAGCGCGGAAAATTTTTAACATTTAAATAGTTCATGCACAATATATGAAAACTACCTATATTTCGATGTTTTTGTGTAATTCAAGTACCTAATTTTCAGAAAATCGCCAAATGATAATGGGCTTTTTTAATTTTTACACATTTTTTTGCCTCTATTTTTGACATGTACATGCCGAAATCTATACACATGAGAAATGTATGCCAGCGAGAGAACGATGTCTCAGTTTTACAAGCGCGGAAAATTTTTAACATTTAAATAGTTCATGCACAATATATGAAAACTACCTATATTTCGATGTTTTTGTGTAATTCAAGTACCTAATTTTCAGAAAATCGCCAAATGATAAAGGGCTTTTTTAATTTTTAAACAATTTTTTGCCTCTATTTTTGACATGTGCCAAACTAATTCGAACTCATGGTATAGTTTCTTTCATGTCGGGCTTTGTCAAACATGGAAAACGTTTTATCGTTTCTCTAAAACGTTTTGTACATTGTCATTGTAAAAAGATCTTATACTGTACAAAATAGAAATATTACTAACGCAGGCCAAATAGTCTTTTTAAAAATAATTTATTTGATTTTTCAATGGAAAAAACAGGCGTCGAGGTTACATGCTGGCGTTTTATTATATAAGTTGTCGAAAACGTTTTGGGAATAGACTAGCAGTAACATATACAAGATGAAACAAACTGATCAAACACACCTGACACGATGCATACATTCGCAAACACGTTCCATGAACATTCAGCAAAATATCAACCCAGAGTGACAAGATGTAAGACACGTTCGAACATTCACTTTTGTAGAGACAGCATCATTTTGTCTTGCATGGTCAAAAAGTAATAAATCTCCCCTGACGTACAAATAACCATTGAAAATATTCCTTTTACACTTTAAATGAAGGTAACATAACTGTTAAATCTTCCCGATTATAAGTCTTTACTGTAAAGTTATCCCCATTCTGGTACCAAGAATTTCAGTACTGGATATATAAAAAACACGGACGTCTTCATGAAGTGAACCAGTACAGCATAATACAGATTTCTTTTTTGTGAGGAAATCAACACAACATCCAGTTACTATTCAGATACTGAAGATTGGCATATCAACATTACATAATTTTGGCATAGTTCAGCAGAAAAAAATAAGTTATCACAAAGGAAAATCAGATATTTTTCTTCCTCAAAGTCCATAATATGGAACATGACAAATTGACAATGACAGCATGTGATCGACTATTCGACTGTTCGCAATCACTGATCACATGACCCACTGGCCACTGATCAGGATTTTACAAAGGTTTCACGTGACGTCATAGATTTGAGTGGAGGTCAACTGATTTTAAAATTGTTCACTGTATGTGGTGGTCTAACCTGAAGTTCAGGCCCTAATCACAGAATAGGGCCTGACACAAAACCTATCTAAAGTGTGGGATTCCCGTCCACCTGGTGGACGGGAAATCTGATTGGTTGATCAGCATCATGAAGGATTTTGATTGGTTGCAAGTTTACATAAACAACAGTTTTAAAAATAGTTCGGTCAAGGCGACAATTAATATAAAGGTCAAACGCACGTACAAATTCCATTATCGATTTCTTCGAATTTCTTTTTCTTTTATGATTTATGGCAGAATAAATCAAACAAACAATATTTTGAAAGGGCTTTATCAAAATCTTGGACGAATTTTGGACACACGACGCCGAAAGAACAGCCAAACTAAGTCATGTATTCGAAAGCTTGTTGTTGACAGCCAAGATGTTCTGCCAACTGGCTTCGCCGGCAAAAGTCTTATTTTTAATATCAGGTCCTACCGGCGTTGTTTTCTGAGCTACATCGCCTTCTTCGTGGTACGATTGAGAATTTCATTGTTGCTGTTGTTAGCCCGTTTTAATAAAGTATATCCCTAATATCCGCGTCCAGCAAGTTGAGACCTTGAGAAAGCTTGGCAGTCAAGCCGTGCACAGAACTGACTAATTAACTCTTTGTCTGAATCTTACTTATATAAAAGTACCTTGAATTTTTAAGTTTAATTATAAAGCAAAATGCACACTCTGCGGACATGTTCATGAGAATATAATTTTTTTGTGTAACGAAATCTACAACAGTTGTCAATCATATTGCATGTTGTGTCTAAAAATAACATGTGGGCGTCCCACGGTCTAGACAGGTTTTGTGTCAGGCCCTATTTCAAATTAGGGCCTGAACTTCAGGTTAGTGGTGGTCCTGCGTTCGGTGAGAAATACGTGCAATTTCGTATCATTTTCTCACTCCAGTACTGCATGAGCATCATCAGGGCGCTTATATACTATATATAAGCGCCCTGATCAATACATTTGAGGTTGACCCCCATACAGATTTATTCTGCATAAATACCATAGGGAAAACCAGGGCGCTGTAAACCAGGGCGCTGTGTTTTACTGCGCCCTGGGAAAACCATGAATAATTGCAAGGTCTGGAGAAAAGGTGGAGTCTAAACACTGACCCAAACAAAGCGATGTAAAATAATTCTATCAGATGGCGGAAATTAGGAAGGGGGTAAAATGTTTAGGGGTCCAAAAGGAAATTTTGCCCCGAGCCCTTAGAAACCTCTAAACGTCCTCGACGTTTTGCGTACACATAGGTAGTGAATAAATTATAGTCTTCAGTGTTGTATTAAAGCGTAATTGAAAATATATATTAAACTTTACATTGATACAGTATGGAAGAATGTGAAAGACCGCCCGCTAAAAAGCCCCGGTTAACTGAAAGCGAAGGAAATAATCAGTTGCACCAAACACACCGTCCATTTTCTATTCCCGTGCCAATAAACGAAGAAATTGGAGAAATAAGTGAAGGTTACGAGAGGGATAATGAATGCGCCAATGTCAATGATCAATCGAGATTTAATGCAACGCCTTATTTTTTGCCAGATTCGCCGATCTGCCCTGAAGAGCTTCTTTTGTATGCACTGATGAAACTTGCATTCAAAACATGCACGTTTACTAAACACCACTCCGAGTCCATGTACGAACCAATTGTTCACATCATTTCTAAAATATGTGGTGTTCAGTTTGCATGTTCGTCTGTTCGCCGTTATTTTCCCAGGGTTTCCAATAATCATTTAAAGTCTGGTGTTGGAAAGTGCAACGGAAAAGTTAGATGGGTTTATTTCAATAAAGAGACGGAAATATTCATGTCTATTTGCGCCACGGAGCTTGACACTGTTGTAAAAAACCCCACTGCTATTCCCGAGTATCTTATATTCCAAGTGAATGAGAAGTTGAAGGAAATTTGCTACTCTGAAATAAATCAATACGAGGAAATTCTTCTAGAGAACGGCTGTAATTTCGCCACACAGTTCAACACTATGATCAAGCCACATCTACAATCCTCTACCTCACCCTGGATACCATGGTTCGACTCAGTGCAAAGAACAATCCACCTTTACAGTTTTGGAGATTCTCCAGGGTACGCTAACAAAGAAGTCAAAATATTGAATACATTCGAATGGATATTCTTTACCAACAAAATCGAGAGGCAAATTTCGAGTGCTTTTCCGTTAGCGGAAAGTCCAAAAAAAGTCGAAACCGTTAAATCTTTGATAGAATTAATTCAATTAATCGACGAGTACAATACATGCGAAGGTTGCGAACGATCAGAGGATTTTGAAACATTAGAACGCGAAGGAAACAGTGGAATCTACAAAACCAAAGAAGGGAAAGATGCTGTTATGAAAGAAAATGGAACACTTCGTTCAACAAACTGCAGTGTTTTGGTACCTAAAGAGTGTCTACAATGCTTATCCTGTAAAAAGAGCCAACGTTATATGCGAACTTTGTTATCAAGAAGAAGCCTTCAAACAGTTGACGTTAGATCTCAACAAAAGGGACGACTTGATTACAAGACAAAAGATGAATTATTAGAAATTGCGCGAGAATCTGCAAGCACCATAAAAAGGTTGCAAGTAAAGAATAAGCGATTGGAGAGAGCAATGGAGGATATGATTGAAGTTGGGCCAACGTCTAACAGCGACCTTCAACATATATTTCAAAATTTGCAAACGGGCCTGGAAAAAAACAAGGAGAAGAGACAAAAACCAATTTGTCTTTGGGAAAACTGTGAGTTACCAGGATTCCAAAACGTCGAGGAATTATTTCGCCATTGCAAAAATCACATCGAGCGTCTTGATACAAGCGTTATTTCTCCCATCAATAGGCGTTATTACTGTAAATGGCAAGATTGTAAGAAGACTTACTCAAAATTAAAACTTCTTGAAAACCATATCAGGGAACACACTGGTAGTCTCAACGATGAATTTCTGGAAACATTGCTTTCTGATCAAGGAAAGGCAATGACGACAAACCCGAAGCAAATGAGATGGCACCCACTTGTTATCAAGTGGTGTCTCCGAATATATATAAAGTCGCACAGTTTATACGAGGATATACGGAATTCTGGAGGGTTAAAATTGCCAAGTGGAAGAACATTGTCTGATTACAAGAACTTCAATCACGCTGATTCTGGTTGGCACATGGAAACTGTACAGACGATGAAGAAGCAATTTGACAAAATGAAGCCACCGAAACACGCCAAACTCGGCCAGTTGGTTTTTGACGAAGTCAAAATAAACGAAGGCCTTGTTTTTGACCCGAAAAATTGGGAACTTGTAGGATTTACTGACATTAATGAGGATGAGATCAATAAAGGGAAAGAATCTAAAACAGATCGAACCGAGAAACTTGCTAGCCACGTGTTGCAGTTTTTTTTCAGGAGTCTCTTTTTCAAGTTCGACTACCCTTGCGCCTTTTTTCTAACGACTAACCTCACCGCACTACAACTCAACAGATTGTTCTGGCTCGGAATAAGTATGCTGCATACATTTGAATTTGAAATTTTGGTCTCTTGCTGTGATGGTGCATCTTGTAATAGATCCTTCGTCCAGATGAATATTGCAAATGAAACCAGCAGCTCCTGTCAAAACCCGTTTTCTGGGATGCCCTTATTTTTTATATCCGATCCTCCCCATCTGATTAAGAAATTAAGAAACAACCTGCATAGCAGTGGTTTCAAAGAAAAAAACAGTCGTTACACTAGATCCCTACTTCTACATGGAAAATATATTCTATGGGACCACATTTATTCGGTGTATGCAAGGGAACAGAAGAGGCATCTGTATGTTACAGATCTCAGAAAAGCCCATGTGGAAATTGACAGGATGAGCAAGATGCGTGTTAAATTAGCGGTGCAAACCCTATCAATGAAGGTGGAAAATGAAATGCATGAATGTGAAAACGAAGCAACGGAAGAGACCAGAGAATACATCAAAGCTTGTGCAAAATTCTGGAACGTTTTTAATGATCCTAAGCCTCTAAGCACAATCGAGGACAGTAGAATATCCCAGCTAGATGAGGTTGTTAAATATTTTGAGGACTGGAAATCATGGTTATGCACACAATACAAGACGAAAGCAATACAGTCCAAGCACTTCATATCTTGGCAAACAAAATTTGATCTTGAGGTAAAGTGTACATATACATATGATTGACTATACAGGGTGCATAAAAAAAAGTTAATCTAACTTCAGCGCGCTATTATACGTGAATTACTCGGCGTATGAAAATTGATTTTCATATTCGGAAAGATATCAGGCCTTCAGCTATTGAATGACAAGTGGAGAAAAAATAAGCATGTACGAAGCCGATTGAAAATTTTAGTCAAAATCGCATATTTTCACCTCTGTGCCTAATTAAAACAATGCATAAAAAAAGAAAAAGCAATTAATCACGAACGTGTCGTAGCTTAGCTAAGATTTATTCCTATACTTAATAATAATTATATATATATGTGCGTCGTTTATTGAAGCGAAATTCATCAACTTAAGTACCAAAAGGGCTTCATTTTCAATGGTTTTTACTAATTCAGATACAATAGCGCGCTGAAGTTTCGATAACTTTTTTTATACACCCTGTATATATACCTGGAAAGATATAGAAAACTTCGATATTTCGAGCGAAGGCCCTTCGTCGGGAAGTTATTAGGCCGACGAAGGGCCTTCGCTTGAAACGGCGAAGTTTTCTTTCTATATTTCCAGGTATACAGTAGCTATCACATTCACATAGAAGATTTATCGAAGATTCAATCTACACTGACACTAAGCGTTCGAGATATTACCATATATATATACTATATATATTACCATATAGTTTTTCGTTTTACCTCAAAAAACCACAACAGTCTGTTTCATCCGTATAGGAATCATCAGGAATCATCATATATATTAGGAATCATCATATATATTACCATCATATATATATATATATATATATATATATATATATATATATATATATATATATATATATATATATATATATATATATAATAATAATAATTTGTGATCAGTTTTTTACTTATCTTTAAAATATCATTTTAGATTACAGTAAATGCTTTAAAGGAGCTTCTGAAGTTCTTGAAAACCGATGAATTTACGAAAGAATATGGAGGTGACTTGTATCTGAATTTAAAAAAATTGAATCAAGATTTCCTGGAATCCTTTTTCTCGTGTCAGCGCCAAATGTGTGGTGGGACAAATAACATGACAGCCTACACATACGGTTATAACATTAGCAGTTTGACGAGTCTTCGCTCATCAAGACTACTTATGAAAAAACAGACAAATGTATATGAGGTAGAAGAATCTCTCCCTTACTTTAACAACGCAGATGAACAATTACCAAAACGACAGCCCAACAAATCTATATTGGAAACGGTTCCATGGTTTGTCGAATTGTAGACTACGTGCACACGGTAACGTTTTCCAGCGTTTTCATTTTACGAGCTTTTACGCCAAAACGAATGCATGCAAACACTATCAATTTACAAAAGATCGAAGTTCATTTAATATATTGGAGATATTTACCTTTGGACCGTGTGAACAGGACGTCACAACAAATTTTAAAGTGACAAAAACGATTTTGAAAACGCTCGGAAACGACGCCCGTGCATATGCACATAGCCTTAGTCTTGATAGTAAAGTAGTAATTGTATTGTAAATAATTCACCATCCATTTCATTGGGGTTTCTGGTGTTGCCCTGTTGGTGAATCATCTTGTAACTAAGAAATAGAAACATAAGGTAATGAACAATTAATATATGTGAACTTAAGGTGGCCACCTATACACTTTTTAAAAATGAAATATTTTCTGATTTGCACATGAATTTCTGGGCAATAATTATTCATGTGGAAGAACAAAAAATATCTGACTTGAATAAAACAATATAACTAAGTTCTTAAAAATTTACTCCTATAGCAACCGTGCGTTTCAACTTTCAATATGGCAGATATTTTTGGTTTAAAGTAATTTAATTCAGTAAACTCCTATTTTTTATTTTATAACATGATTTCTTTTAGTATATGTTGAATCATTTTCGTGATCTAAAAAATTCTGTCATGCCAAAATTTTCCAAGTTTGAAAAAATTTAAATGTAATAATTCCTAACAATTTTTTCCCCGCATGACAGAATTTTAAAAAAATCATAACAATGATTCAAAATACTAAACAAATTCTTTTCAAGAAATAAAAAAGGGGTAACTGATCTTATTTTCAAGTTAAGTAACTTTAAACCCAAAATATCGGCCATATTGAAGCGTTATTGTTGATTCCTTTTTGAACAATCTAACTCTGTAGTTATTATTTTACAAATCGGACTTTCTTTGTCTTTTAAACATATAGGAATTGTGGAAAAATTGGGACTAAATTGGAAATTTTCCATTTTCTATTAAACTGGAGGGAGCCACCTTAAGCTACAAGATTGTTGTTAATAGTAACTACTGTTACTAATGTTATTACGAGTTTAACGATTCATTAAATATATGTGGTTGTAATATGATACCAGCAATATCAAGTGCTATCAGGGGTTAATATTAGGATGTTAGGGTTTGTAATCCAAGTGAGAATATATACATTTTAAGACCTAACCAGGAACGACTGCGAAAAATGCAGCACAAGGTCCTCTGGTAGGAATTGAACCCACGGCCCTGCGATTCCAGGTGCAGCGCTCCAACCAACTGAGCTACAGAGGCCAGCTGCTGAGCTGTAACTGTAACATGGACTGGAAATAATACACCGCAGGGAACTGGGGGCGTCTTCTCAAATCTGGTAAAAAAAGGCAGGGAGGGCACTACATCAATGATTCTAAATATGATTGTCTAATAAACACTTTTGGCTTGGAAACACCATCTTTTGAACTTTTAAACCACATTATCCAACATTTTTGGAGCTGCACAATTTTAAACAAGGCTCATGAACAACCCACTAGATCAAATAATGATGATGATTTATCCACCAAATGCTCAACATCCACCAAATCGTTGCAAAATATTGAGTTTGAGTCGCTGAGGAAGCATGCTGGTTGGGCCATTAACATGCCAGAGATTTTATTCAAAGTGCAGGGTTTCTTTCAGGATTTTCTCTTGGGCCCGTTTTTCCAGAGAAGATTGAGTTTAGCTAAACAGCTGGGGGTCTGAGGCGGCTGCCCCCCTATGGCAGGCCGAATCCTGTACCTACTTTAGTGTAGTTGAGATACAATGTATTAAAGCGGGGCATTAGGGGACACAATAAACTGGTTAAAAATAGTGAAATTGTGTTGTGTTGAGAAATGAATTCCAGCCATTTTGTACTTAATTTTTGGGTTTTCAACTAAAACCTAATTTGCACACGTCATGAATTTAACTCAAACAACTTCATTTTACTGCACAGAATCTTTTGATGAGAAGATTGAGTTTCAAAACTCAATACAAGGTTGATCAATAAAAATTTCCTGACAAAAACCCTGAAGTGAACCTACTACTTCAAAAGTTCAGGTCTCAAAAGCTGATGACTCATTTTGTGAGGTGAGCAAGAAGAATCTTTTGGATATTTTTAAAGATCTTGGGGAAGATGTCCTTGTGCAACCTGGGAAGTATTTATTTATACCCAATGAGGAAGTGGTGCCTGTTTTCTTGTCTTTGCACTCTTCACTAGAGAAAAGCAACCTTGAAACAGATGCCAGCAAAGATGTTTTGAAAGAATGCCTCGAAGCTTTGTGTGAAGATAAATGCTTGCGGGATATGCGGTATGGTGCATTGCATCTAGGAAGTCCAGAAGATCTGTCCTTAAAAGCAAGTTATGTCTTGGTCCTCCAATGAATTGTGGTGATGTTTTTCAATAATTCGCGAGCAACTTCAGCTGAAACCAAAAAAGCGAAGCTCATCCTTGAGACAATCTTTAAAGAAAGTGACCAATAACAAAATACAGTGTTTTTACCATGCCAGATACTGCATCGGATGTTCTTTGCAAATTGCATGGCAAAGAACTTTCAGAAATTCTAAAATCTCTTGGTCTCCCTGGACTAAATGGAAAAAGTAAAAAGCATCAAGTCGATTTGCTGTTTAGGCACCTGCAAAAAGATTCCAAGAGGTCAAAAATATTGTATCCTGCGAATGTATGTTGATAGTTTAACCCATTGAGTGGCAGCACTATCCATTTGACATGTAAAATCATCTGACATTAGACAGAGTAAAATACTAATTAAAGTAGGGTGCATCAAGATGCATTGCCACTTAAAGGGTTAAAAAAATAATGATATGCAGTGTAAATATCTGAGGGTCAGTTTATATGGTTATATTGTAGCCGAGCTGACACGCTTAGTGAGACAGCATCATGATGGTAAGTGGGATGAATTTCTCTTGTGTTTATATGAGAAAATCTCATCCCGTTTGCTGGGACAATTTTGTTACATTATATTGTTTCAACAGTTGTTTAATAAAAATAGCTTGTGGAGGTACCCTTAACATTTTATCCAGACAAGCCCATCCCGGTAAGCAAGATATCGCTTCTTTCAAGCCAGATCTTGGCAACTGGGCCAGTCTGCTTGTCCATATAAACACACAATAATTTTTACTATAAACTACACAATGAGTTATCACTTACCAAGCTGCCTTGCTAAGCGGGCAGCCTGGTTTTCATAAAACAGGCCCTTTAACAATAATGGAAACATGAAAAACCAAACGCCTTCTGCATGATAAGTTTATATATATGGAACTGCATAATTTTGTTGTTTACTTTTGACAGTTTCAAGAGATTACAGCCATGACGTCATCATTTGTCAAAAGAAACTTAACTATGTTCGACGTATTATTTAACCACATATTAAGTATGTCAGTATATCTACTTATTAATTGCACAAAACACTTTCTTGGCTTTATAATAGTTGCATTTGTAATTTTACACTATTATATATTATTAATCCTATAAACATTCACAAGCGAGCTAGATGGAATGGAAGTTCATGTGTACCGCCACAAGCTATGTTTAACAACTGTTGAAACAATAAAAATCGTCCCGGAAAGCGGGGTGAGATATTCTCATATAAGCACAAGAGAAATTCATCAGTGATCCCACTGACCGACTGGGCTGTCTTGCTAAGTGGGCCAGCCCGGCCCCCATATAAACAGGCCCTTAGATGTTTACACTGCATATCACTATTAATTTATTTAGCATACTGTACCTTCTCAGGAGACAATATTTTCCACTCCTTCCCATCTCTGTGGTGCCTCAACAGCAAATCCACTTGACGCTTTTTACTTTTTCCATTTAGTCCTGGGAGACCAAGAGATTTTAGAATTTTTGAAAGTTCTTTGCCATGTAATTTGCAAAGAACATCCGATGCAGTATCTGGCATGGTAAAAACACTGGATAAGAAATCAACAACATGTAAAGGCTCGCCCATGTTCATTCTCAATTTTGATATAATGTCATCTCCTTCAGTTTCAGATTTTAAATCCTTTCCTTTTTTGTTATTGGTCACTTTCTTTAAAGATTGTCTCAAGGATGAACTTTGCTTTTTGGGTTTCAGCTGAAGTTGCTCGCGAATTATTTGTTGTTTTGACTTGACAAACATCACCACAATTCTTTGAAGGACCAAGACATAACTTGCTTTTAAGGACAGATCTTCTGGACTTCCTAGATGCAATGCACCATACCACATATCCCGCAAGCATTTATCTTCACACAAAGCTTCTAGGCATTCTTTCAAAACATCTTTGCTGGCATCTGTTTCAAGATTGCTTTTAACCATTTTCTCTAGTGAAGAGTGCAAATACAAGAAAACAGGCACCACTTCCTCATTGGGTATAAATAAATACTTCCCAGGTTGCACAAGGACATCTTCCCCAAGATCTTTAAAAATATCCAAAAGATTCTTCTTGCTCACCTCACAAAATGAGTCATCAGCTTTTGAGACCTGAACTTTTGAAGTAGCAGGTCCACTTTGAATCAAATCTCTGGCACGTTTAATGGCCCAACCAGCATGCTTCCTCAGTGACTCAAACTCAATATTTGGCAATGATTTGGTGGATGTTGAGCTCTCGGTGGATGTTGAACATTCGGTGGATGTTGAGCATTCGGTGGTTGAGCATTCAGTGGATAAATCATCATCATTATTTGATCTAGTGGGTCGGTGACGAGGCTCGTTTAAAATTGTGCAGCTCCAAAAATGTTGTATAATGTGATTTAAAACTTTAAAGGATGGTGCTTCCAAGCCAAAAGTGTTTATTAGACAATCCCACTTCGTTTCAATTAAATCATTAGATTTTGGCAAGGCAGAAATCAATTTTTCAAGCTTAATTGCTTTCTGGTTTGGACATTTTATGCCCTCGACCATATCGTAGCAATTGCCAAAAGATACGGATATTTCTTTCAATAAATTTTCGATCGGCTTTTTATTGGTTTCAGACTGATTTTGCATAAAATCTAAAATGGCTTGGGCCGTCTTGGCTTCGCTTATTTGACTTCCCGAAGATATTATTTTAAGAATTTTTTTCAAAAATTCCATACCTTTAAGAGAAAAAATCCAAAAAAGGTTTTCTCTGGTTAATTCTACGTTTTCTTCATCAGCTGAACTCTCTTCATCGTCAAAATATAAAAGATCTACGACTTCACTCTTACTGCCCGCCATCTTGTTTTGAAAATTGAATATATGCGGGGGGGGTCGTGCATCACAAGTAGATCAGGGGCGCTATCTCCGTTTCACCGCCCGTGTTTTACAGCGCCCTGATGAATAGTCGCGAATGTCGACGATAGTACGAATAGTCGACGAATAGTACGAATAGTCGACAAATAGTGCAATAGAGACTTTGCAAGGCTTTGCAGCAGTGCTGTAGAACTAAATTTACCGGGGGGGGGGGCTCTGTTGACAAACATGAAATCGTGAAAACATTCGTTGACGTACGTCAATGACGTCATACGTAACCGGTAAAAATTACGGGAACCACTGAGTATTTCAATAAAATATAAAACACCGGTAACTTCGAAAATAAACATTTTAATATTGTAGCTTTCGACTAAAATTCAGTCATAGTCAGGAAACATATTCCATATTTTTTAAAATTGATAATCATTCCTGCTGGTAAGTGGTAACCATATGAGTCATAAATTTTACTGATGGAATTTTATAGGAATTTTACTTGTAAGTTATGGCGTTGTAACTGAAGATTTAAGGGCTTAAGTGACTTCGTGTGCTTGGAAAACGTGATTTACATCCCGAAACAAGAGAAGATATCGATTTATTATTTAGGCCCGTTTTTGGGCGAATTTGTTCGCACGAAGCGAAAACCAAATTTCGGCAATGTGATTGGTCAGCGAAAAAATTGGATCAGTTCCTACTCTTTTACTTGTCGCTTCGCGCGAACAAATTCGCCCAGTGGAAAACGTCATTCTAGTGATTGTCATCAGTGGCGCCGTGGCCGGGGGAGGGAGCAGGGGGGGGGGGGCATTGCCCTCCCCTATTGTTGACAGCCGCCGGAAAATTGCCAATGCTGCCGGAAATTGTCGGAAAATTGTCAAGGCTGTCGGAAATTGTCAAATTGTCAAATTGTCTACTTCCTGTTAAATATTTGTTAAAACTCAGTGGTCCCGTAATTTTTACCGATTACGTATGACGTCATTGACATCAACGAATGTTTTCACGATTTCATGTTTGTCAATAGAGCCCCCCCCCCCGCCCCGCTTCGGTAAATTTAGTTCTACAGCACGGTGGAAAGTCTTGCAAAGTCTCTATAGCACTATTCGTCGACTATTCGTACTATTCGTCGACTATTCGCGGACTATTCGTACTATTCGTCGACTATTCGCGGACTATTCGCACTATTCGTCGACTATACGCGGACTATTCGCACTATTCGTCCACTATTCGCGGACTATTCGCACTATTCGTGGACTATTCGTGGACTATTCGCACTATTCGTCGACTATTCGCTTCACTATTCTAGTTTTATCAATTGCCATCAACTCTGCCGTGCAGCACGGCAGAGCCAGAGTAAATTGTAAACAAATTGTAAGCTTGTGAGAATCAGAGTTCAAAACTCAAAAATATTTACTGGGTACATGTAAAACAAAGACCTAAAATCTAAATTCTCAAAAGTAGCTTTAATACTGTCAAATTTTCCGAAGTCTGATTTAGTTGTTTCAAAAGTATAGAATACACACACACTTCTGTATGGATTTCGTACATGTTGTGCATATGTCTTACAGTAAAAATACAAAAATTGTCCCACTTCCGCGGTTTGTTGTGATTTTAATACTGTAATTTGTTGTTTTTCTGTAGCGGTTACCGATTTATCGGCAAATACCGCGATAAAACGTAGTTTTCTTTATTTATTTTATTCTACAGCATTTATAGTTCTACAGCTATCTTATACAGTTTTATAATATAATAGTGAATGATTCCGAATATTCAAAACGGATTGAAAGAATGAAAGCAGTAATTATGTATAACAGTTTAAACCGGCGTAGGCCGTACAGCACACTGCTCACTGGGACGAAGGATAAACCGAAAATTCACTTCTCTCCATGACAAGCTTTTATAATGTTCAGTCGATCCGCTACATTGAAAGATGAGTACTTGGCTATTTTTTGGCAGGGGTAACGAAATATATCGGCTGTTCTCTAAGTGTTTCTTAATGCGTTGGCCATCGGAATATACTGATATAACTACATAACTCATAAACTTGATAGATATGTGACGAGTTTCACAGGCACAATCCTATTTTAAATACTATGGCTTTTGGCAGTTTTGCATCATATGTGCAGTAAAAGCCCCATTTTTCTACTTCCTCAACGTGTAAAACGCGAAAAAACTTTATTAATTAATGACGTAACGTTCATTTTGTGGCTAACGACTAAATGAACCAGCGACTAAAAAGCAAGCAACGTAGTCAGTAATTGTCAAATTTGCAAGTGCTCATTTTCAACTAAAATCGGAACAGGCAAATTAGGACGAATTTCAACAGAAAACCAGTCTCAAACTTCAAATCATGAGGGAAGTCGTGCGACCACATTAGGATTTATATTATATCCAAGAACATGGAAATCAATATGTTTGTCCTGTAACAAGTCCCGTAATCTGTCCTGTGAAGTATCGTGTTGTTATTAGACAATAGTTTAATGTTTGTGATGTCGTATCTTATATGTAAGGGCCGCTGTAATTGGCGTAAGCTGTAGCGTGTTCCCTGCCATTGTCCATATATGTTTTTTCTGTGTTTTAATGTTTATTGGCGAAGTTAAATAAATAAATATGTGCTTCGCTATCGCCATTGGCATTGCTATAAATAAATTGTCTCACTTATCAGATCGTGTGTGCAATTCTTGTTGGCGGCGGAAAGTACGAAATTTATTTCATTTGGTAAAGAACTCTACAAAAGAAGAGAGCGTTCCGAGTCCAGATCGTTTCGTTTCAAACGGCAATTTAATACCGCCTTCTGTTTCGCTCTCTCAGCGAAGCCTTGTTAATCGCAAAGTGTTTCGAATAGGCTTACGGTCCTTACATGCAACTGTATCTCAACATCAACCAAAAAATAATTTTCTTGAGGAAGTGAGAACACATAACGTATCAACTGAAGTCTGTTTGAAATTAATGAAACTCAAGTAAAGGTTACTATAGTTTACCCCAGTCGTAATTTGCTATTCCAACACCTCACGACAAGCAATCCCCATTGACATAACGGCAAAAACATGTCTTCCTTCAAGTAAACAATAAACAGTCTGTTCTTGTTCCATTTGTAATCGAAAAAAGTGATCAATTTTCAAATTTTAAGCTTATCGAGAGCCTTTGCATTGTCTATGCCTTTGTGATGAATCAGTATCACTAGTGATGGGCGATTACCGACTACTTGGTATCGATACCACCCGATACCAGGCCCAAACAGGAAGTAGTCGATACTGCACGGTATCGAAAAAGTAGTGATGGGCGATACCGACAGTATCGGTTTCGATACGATACCGATTACTTTTTGGTTAAAGTATCGAGGTATCGATTACCCAAACGATTACTTCCTCCAATTTTCAAAATAATAAATGTAAGTCACTGAATAAAGAGCCGACTGTTAAAGAAGTAGCCTTCTACTGTAACAGTAACGATATATTTTCAGAAAGTTACATATTTTTAACAGTAACGATTTGATCCGCCATTTTAATCCACAAAAAAAACAAAAACTACTTTATTTCCCGCCTTTTTCATAATTTATTCTGTCGATGAGGATAGAATGTCAAATAAAGTATAAAGGAAGTTTGATTAAATTGATAAATGCAGCAAAATACAAAAAAGTACATAAATTTTATTAGAAATAACCATGAAAACGATGACACAACTGCAGGATTATAATGAATGTCTAATTTTAAAAGTAATCGAAACACTTTTTCGATACCGTGCAGTATCGACTACTTCCTGTTTGGGTCTGGTATCGGGTGATATCGATACCAAGTAGTCGGTAATCGCCCATCACT